GGCCACAATGGGGAATCAAAGTTTTACATAGAAATATATAGGAAAAATCTTTGAAAATCTTCTTCTCAAGAACCACTGGGCCAGAAAAGCTGAAACTTATGTGGAAGCATTCTGGTATAGTGTAGATTCTAAATTGTTCACATCATGACCCCCGGGGGAAGGGCGGGGCCACAATGGGGAATCAAAGTTTTACATAGAAATATATAGAAAAAATCTTTGAAAATCTTCTTCTCAAGAACCACTGGGCCAGAAAAGCTGAAACTTATGTGGAAGCATTCTGGTATAATGAAGATTCTAAATTGTTCACATCATGACCCCCGGGGGAAGGGTGGGGCCACAATGGGGAATCAAAGTTTTATGTAGAAATATATAGGAAAAATCTTTGAAAATCTTCTTCTCAAGAACCACTGGGCCAGAAAAGCTGAAACTTATGTGGAAGCATCCTGGTATAGTGTAGATTCTAAATTATTCAAATCATGACCCCTGGGGGATGGGCGGGGCCACAACATGGGGAATCAATGTTTTACATAGAAATATATAGAAAAAATCTTTGAAAATCTACTTCTCAAGAACCACTGGGCCAGAAAAGCTGAAACTTATGTGGAAGCATCCTGGTATAGTGTAGATTCTAAATTGTTCACATCATGACCCCCGGGGGAAGGGCGGGGCCACAATGGGGAATCAAAGTTTTATATAGAAATATATAGGAAAAATCTTTGAAAATCTTCTTCTCAAGAACCACTGGGCCAGAAAAGCTGAAACTTATGTGGAAGCATCCTGGTATAGTGTAGATTCTAAATTGTTCAAATCATGACCCCCGGGGGAAGGGTGGGGCCATTATAGGGAATCACAGTTTAACATAGAAATATATAGGAAAAATCTTTGAAAATCTTCTTCCCCCGGGGGAAGGGTGGGGCCATTATAGGGAATCACAGTTTAACATAGAAATATATAGGAAAAATCTTTGAAAATCTTCTTCTCAGGAACCACTGGGCCAAAAAAGCTGAAACATATGTGCCCATGGAAGGATCATGGGGTAGTGTAGATTTCAAAATGTCTAAATTATGATCAGTGGGGTAGGGTGGGGATGCATTATGTATACCAAGGGGAAAATCTGGTAAAGAACAGAATGGTCAAAGCTTCTCAGGTGAGCGATGTGGCCCATGGGCCTCTTGTTTAAATTAAGTGATCCAAGGTCCTCATTAATAGCTATATATTTTCGTCAACAGTTATAACTTGTCTAGCAGGACTAAAGTAAAAGGGTGAAGAAGAACATGAACATGATGCAGGATTATGTTTCAGATATTCTTATTAAAGCAAACTTGAAATATGGTGGAATACAAGACTAGACCTTTTTATGATTAAGAATATTATTTGTATTAACCGTGTCATTTTCCTTTGTAAGCATATTTGATATTCATTTTCAGATAACAAACAGTAAATATGCTCAAAAGTCTATAAAAATACACATATCAGAGATAGTGTAAACACAGACCTCTAAAGCATTAGAGATTGGGTCAGGTGCCATGACGGAGTACAATCTCGGTTACAACCGTCGTTACTGCTTGTCAGGGCCCAAACCGGAAAAATCCGTAGACATTGTTCATTGTTAAAGCAATTACCAAACAATTTTTATGAAAAACGTCATTCGGTATTCAACTTTTATAAAATAATACATGTATATCGTATTTGCTGATAATTAGTTCATTATATCGACCATAGAATCTGCTAAATGTTAGTATAAAACAAGACAAAGCAACCGAGGAATCAATTTCATATACTGGTGATAATGATTAACGTATATTGCTACATAAATATAACAAAGGAGCCGACGATACAAAAAGTGAAGTCAACCTATTCATCATAAGATTCTTGTGGCCAATTTGCTATCAGTGTATACTGCTTTAGTAAAATTTTTAAATCTGAAAACAATACGTTAATCTCTGCTGTGTCCTTCATTTCTAAGTCAATCGAATCAATGTAGGAGGAAAATGACGAAAAGTCGCTGATATATCTAAATTTTAAATGTTACAATGTACAAAAAAGAAATCTTTTCTTGTAGAAAAGTTGAATATATACTGGTTCAAACAACAGGTCTGCTTATAACATAGTCATTTTTGATACTATACAATGATAGTACTTTTTACAGTTTACAATTTGAAATCATAAGATTTTACTTAAAAAACAGCTTGAAAACTTTTATTTTTTCAACTTAATACACAACCATTCCCCAAGATAAATTAAAGTCCAGGCTTTTTGATATCATTGACAGCTGCTTTTTCAATAAAGATGGAACTCGTAAACTTACTTTCCTGGTCATTGGTCATTTCCAAAATTATTTTGTTACAAGTTGGATATTTTACTTTGAAAAGACCTAAATGGTGATCTATCAACAAAGTTCTATGATAAACGTGATGATCCTAACTTTCCTATCGTCAACTTCCCTGACTTATGCAGCAATATACCTTCATCACCTGTATACGGTGTTTATATATCTCAGTTGAGCATGCTCTACGTAGGTACAATTTCTAAAACGAGGTAAATTATTGACAAACAAGATGATGAAACAAGAATATCAGCGGTCTCGCTTAAAGTCATCATTTCGTAAGTTCTATGGTCGATACAACGACCTTGTCAGCAAATTCAATTTATCATTGAGTCAAATGCTGACTGACGTTTTTCATACTAATTGTTAGTCCATTATTTATACACTGAATTGACGACGGATTTTCCCGTTATTTCCTGGTCATGACAAGGAGCCTCGGCGGGTGTGACCGGTCGGCAGGGGAGGCTTACTCCTTCATGGCACCCGATCCCACCTCTGATGTTTTGGAGGTCCTTGTTTGCTCTGCTCCTAGTTTGTATTGTTTTATGGACTTTGATATTGAATGATGTTCGTTATCTCCATATCCTTCATCGATTGTTCAACGCAAGATCAGCTCTTAATTCTGTAATTCTACAGCAAATGCTATCCGAAAACTACCCAGATTTCTCAATGAGAAGTACGAGCATCTTTTTGATAAAGATCTAACTTTGGTTTCTTGTGTATGCAATAAAATGATTTTTAACAAAATAAGTTTGCAGATGACCAGTGATAAGACATGCAAATTCACGAGTTCTATATTTATTATAAAAAAAAATTCTGTGATGTCAAAAAGCCTACACTGTAGTTTTAAAATCTTGAAATACAGTAATTTGGACAGATCTTTCCAAAAATTTTGACAGTTTAAAAAAATCATTTTTCCCAAACAAATGGAGCGATGATTCAATCATTCAAAGAAGTCATATGGTAGGAAGAAAAGATCATTTTAATTTGTTCCTTGATTTTTCAAATTTTTCATCAAAGGCATTGTTTGAAGAGAAAAAAAGTAATAAAATTTCATTCTTTACTATTAACTTAGTAGTATTTGTTCGAACGTTTAAACATCTTGGAAATTTATATGGGTTTAAGGTTCTGAATAATAAACTTAAGGTTATTTGCAATGACTTTATTTTGCTATTCATTTTTTCTTTTAAGAATTCATTTGTTGGTTTAAGCTTAATAATGGCAATATCTTCTTTGTTTGTGGATTCTGTTGACATGTTAATAAAAGTTAGCATTACTGTGATTTCTTTTAGAATTAAATGTCATAATACAAAGTTGTTAAAATGCTGTGTTGCACATGAAATGTCAATCGCCACTACATATACGTAAGATATTTCTGTCATTGCTAAACGCAGTGACATTTCTTTTATTGCTACAAGTAACTTTTCCACAGATTACACTTCGGGAAGCCATTGGTTACTAAGAACCAAATTCTGAAGAACCAAATTTTCTGTATGTAGTTGCAGTACATATAATTGGTAGATGTATGTTCAATTTAATACAAGTGCTTCTGTTAAATAACTGTAAAGTTTGTTTGCTCCCAGATTTTTTTTTATGTTGTACATAAAAAACAGCAGATTTACAGAAAAAAGATCTAAAATATATCTGTAAATATTTCTACATACAATTTTATTACAATCAGAAGCAAAGATGTTCTTTCTTTACATTGCCTTTTTATATATTTAAGACGGCCACTACTTGGTCTTTCAAAGGCAGTCGCTCATAAACATAAAAGAATAAGTTGATGACAATAAGATTGATGTAGTTCTTTAGATACCCCCTTTATTATGACGAGTTAAGCAGAGTCTTCAGATTGTATTTCTCCATTTCAGGGCCTTGAACCTGATACTAAGTATAATCGGATGTGTCCAACAAATAACTTCCGTTTATACGGAAATTATCAATTCTAGTTGAAATACTCCTAATATTTTACGGAGTTGTAATAAAAATATTATGCACAAGATCTAGAACTTTCACCATGGAGTTTTACAAAATGACTTTGAGTGTCGGTTTATTTATATAAGGACTATATATTTGCAATAGCGATAATATTCGCAGTTATATATACGTGCACGGATTTCTTTCAAATGTTGGTTGCAAAGGCATAAAAAGTTTTCTTCTTGGAACCTATTACAGGATCATGACGATTACTTTTCGATTTCTTATTTTGTTTCATCCCATTCCATACATATGTTTATCAGCACTGCTCAGTATAAATTTCTCTTTATCCCTCATTCCCACCAATAATTCACATGTATGCTTCAATTTTCTAATGTACAATGGTCTTTTGAGCTCGAATATTGTCCGTTATCTCTACATATTCTATGTATCCATATTACATGGGAAGGTATGCTGTTTCTGTAATCAGACACTTGGTATTTTATTAAAAATCCACTCACAAACGAGTCAAAGCTATCAAGGATGCCATCCAAAATTGACACTAGTAAGCAAAGACTGACAATGACGCAATCCCAAACCAACGTATAATGTGTAGGTAACGTTAAAGATGAGACGGAATGAGATGATAACAATTCAATTCAGTTCGAAACTGCAGTTATGTAATTTGTTTATTAAATTGAATAACTGTCATTGACTCAAATATTAAACATAGTAAATATAAAAAATAATGCATATACTAAAGGTGATGCTTTCTTTATTAAAAACAAAATCAGATAACTTTGCCTAATTTCTTTGTCATTTAATATATATACATTTAGAAGTTTATTTCAGAACAGCAAAAATTAGGTCTACTATAACTTAGAATTTAATAAAATATATGATGAACACACTTAAGATGAACTGTCTATAAAACGAACAGATGTTAAATGCACCATGTCCTTAGTAAACAATTGCAAAAATAACCATCTCTGGCTTTTCTAGGCGTTATTTGACATTCACCCTCGTAGAGCAGTAAAGCGGAATCGCTTTTCTGGACTGGAATCTGAAAAAAAAAAGTGAAAAGCTGTACTGTACTCGAGTGTTGTTATTATAAACCTTGAGGTCAATCAAAGAAATTATAAGTAAGTATAAAATGTATAAGGAGAGCGGCAAGAAAAATATCTTGATTGTTATAAATTTTGAATTTACTGAATGGAATCAATTTCAACACCTTAAGTAGTCATAATATTTTAAATTTTGCATTAACCTCCATTTCTTAATTCAGAATTCACAACAACGTTGTCAACCAACCCATATTCTTTTAAGAGAGCAGCACGGACTTTATAAAATAAATGTATAGATCTACATATATCAATATACGTAAAGTACCGAATGAAAGTAACTGTGATTATGTAATATCTCTAATTTGACATATGTTTAGCACTATTAAAATTATTTCGAAGAACAATTGTTGCTCTGAAAAAATAAAGATAATTCTATACAAGCAGGTTCTTTTATTTCGTTAAATAATACTATTTATTATTTTACTAACATAAGTATAGAATAGTTATAATTTAACTACTTGGTCATTTAACACGCATGGAGACATTGTTTAAACCTTACAAATGGTTTACTCTTGTTTGAAATACCTTGCGTCACTTTTTTTATGTGCACATCAATTTTTTTTTAAAATTGTATGTCATTGTTCATCTTAATAAAATAAAGTTCAGGCGTATCTCCCAATATGTTTATGTGCGTCCTTATTACTTAAGAAATAAGGTGTAAGTTTTAAACATTGGGATATGAAAAGAGGTTGGCCACGTAACCATATCCCGTAAAGCCCGAAACGCTGTACGTTTAATTTGATCAGATACCAATCCGCATTTTATATTTTGATATTAATTTTTTTTTAAATGACACCTTCTCGACTTTACACCTTTATTTTTACTGATTTTAAAACAAATTTTTATCTTAGAGTTTTTACCCATGAAATCATTTATCTTTCCCGATCTGTTTTGTGTACTTTTCTATGGCTCTCTGTGACCCAGATTACCTCACTAAATCGGGATAAGAAAAATTATAATGTCAAAAGAAAGTAAAATTTATTGCACTCTTCTTCAAAGAGACATTCATCAACAGAATTCCCCTTCCTTTCCACTGTGAAGGAATTCCAACCACATAATAAAACACCGATTTGTAATACTTAAACCTACGGGAAAATAGGACATACAATGACACAACGATAAATATTCATCAAAGTTAGATTGTCAAAGACCTCTTGTGTTGCCTTTGGAATTTACAGTCTCTTTTATCATTTGAAAATTTACCCAATATTACATGTTCCACCCACTAACTATACCAAATGAAGGACTTCCTGGAACTTTTGCATTTTCACAACACTGCTCCAATATCACCAAAGACACTACATAATTAGTCTGTTTACTGAGTTTATTATTGAGAGTAAAAACTGGCTTATATCGTAGTATTTCATTTATCCCACACCATCTCATGATATCTATTACGCTAGGCCTCAGGATGCAAATTACAACACAAGAACTTTTTTTTCATGTTCGCAGGTTGAAAGTCATGAAAAAAACTAAATGGGGAATTTTTTACGCCATCTTACAGTGACAAGGTTATGCTTTCCGCCCCTTCCAATCTTTTGTAGATTTCCCCTTTTTACACGTATTTAATGACTTGCAAGGTTTAAGCTGGTGGTTTCCTGGTTTTATACACATCAGTCTAAATACGAAGTCCAAACAACGGCTACCGGAAGTTACAGCCCGGGCGAATAATGAAACAGAATGTGGTGAAATACTCTATCTTTTTGGATCTTATAACACGAAATAAATCAAAAGAAATCGTATTCATTATGGAAATTCTCCTTGTAGAAGAAATGTTATACGCATGAATTTAAAAATATCGGCACCCGGGTTTCAGGGATCTATTTCCAAGCTAATTGCAATTCTTGTTTATATCAGCCAAGCGCTAAATGAGATAAGACGCCGCTGTTTTACCGATATTTACGGTGAATCAATTTTCGTATCATATAATTGCTACATGCCGTAAATAAAGATATTTTTGTTGAAATTATTCTTTATTACTATTCTGAAAAGTGATTTTGTATCCGAAAAACCAAGGCAGCAATTATCTAATTTGGATATTTGCATATCGGTATCCAGATCGTAGCGCTAATTGCGTCATCACTTGGAATGATACAGGGTAGAGAAAGGAGAAAGTACCATTGTCTACCACGCGATTAGCATTTTCTTCTCATAAATGTAATTCCTAACAACATTACATCACAATATAACCCTAATAAATCTGATAGAATTATAAAAAGAAAATGTCTTGAACCACAGTTTAAAGTTATGCCACTTAGATATTTATAAAAGGATGGAATGTTTACCATTTACATCGAAAGGAACATTCTATTTAGACTGCATTTCCGCCTTCATCAGTGTTTTGATCTGTCATTTATTGGAACGAGATTGGCATGTGTACCAACCCATCGACCCCAAAATGTTCTTTATTGTTATGACTGCTAGTGCTATGCATAGTGCAATTATTATGCGGAATAGCAAAGGTCTCTGAATTATTTTAGGTATATTTTCCATCTTTTCACATTAATATTCTCTGAAGAATGATGGAAAATTGGATATTTGATCCTCAAAGATATAATGCTCTTCGAATGAATTCTATTTGTCCCCTGGTCAGAAATGATTAGAAGGATATATATTGAAGTACATCTGAATACCTGGTTAATCAGGCGAACTAATCTAGCGGAAATAGTTATCCCTGTATCCACAAGATCTCGAGGAAAGAAGCAGAAAAGGAAAGGCCATTATACGGGAACTTTGGTCATTATGCATAGAGTGAACGGAGTATGTTATTATTCAGTTTAAATTTGTTTAACTTAAGTACATGTACTTCTGATGAACCCTTCATAATCAATGTCTGCAATCTTTGCTGTTCAATTTGATTGGAACATTAAGATATTAAAGATAGATGCTTGAGTTTCTGATTAACAATATCTATGTTTTTTTTTTTGTTTTTTTTTTTTTTTTTTGAAACTAGGTCTTCCGACAGTCTATTGGAATTCCCATGGGTACCAAATGCACGCTGTTATTGGCAGACCCATTTTTGTATTCACTTTTAAGCAGAATTTATCGAAGTTCTTTTACGTAAAAAGACGAAAAACATTGCTGTGGCCTTCAACTCGACATTTAGATATATCGACGACGCATTGTAAATAAAAAAAAAATGGTTATTTCCATTCTCATGTCAGTACGATATATCTCAGTGAGCTTGAAATAAAAGATACCTCAGAGTCTCACACATCCAATTCAAAATTGGATATTTTACTTGAAAAAGATTGATAATTTAATAACCAAGCTTTATGATAAACGTGATGATTTTAACTTTTAAATTGTCAACTTTCCTGCATCATCGCCTGCATTAGGGGTTTATATCTTTCAGTTGCAAGAGCATGCTTTAGGTATGAACAATTTCTAAAACGAGGTTGATGAAACAAGAATATTTGCAGTCTCGTTTAAAGTCATCACTTCGTAAAGTTCTTTGGTCGATAAAATGACCTTGTCAGCATATACAATTATCATTGAATCAAATGCTGACTGGCGTTTTTCATACTAATTGTTAGTTCATTATTTATACAATGAATTGACGACGGATTTTCCCGTTATTTCCCGATCATGATAAGGAACACACGTCGGGTGTGGCCGGTCGGCAGGGGATGCTCTCTCCTCCATGGTACGTATTTCCACCTCCGATATTTTGGAGGTCCGCGATTGCTCTGCACCAATTACTCATTATATTTCATACGTTTGAATACATACATGTACTCTTTTGCACAACAATATTTTGATATTTTAAGATATTAACTACATACATAGACCCTTAAAACTTACATGGTGCTTAATCTTCGTTTGTTCTATAATTATATAATGTATCTTCGTTCTATATATATAATATTTATATAAAAACTTTTATATTTTTTTATATCTATTATATGTATTATATGTTTGATTACTTTTTTTTTATCTACATCCGATTATATTCCACTAGGATCTTGCCGGGGTTGTGACTCGGACCTTTGCTATTGGCTAGTGATCAAGATGAGTGATATATAAAACTTAATCATCGATAATGCATTGTTCATTACTTGTATAACGTACTGAGTGTTCCTTCGGAATAAAAAAAAAGAATCATCGAATTGATTGCATTACACAGATTTTATGTCATTTGAATTTAATATTTCTGCTATTATCTACCCTTTGATGAATAAGTGTTTTATTCCTGCTCAAAGCGGTGGTGAATTTTGAAATTAATCGTTTAATAATATCTTTTGGTGTTCGATCCCTTTTTTTAATCAATGTAAGGTCTGGGTGTTTCTCTGGTAAACAAAGGCGAAGCTATCTAGACTCCAGTTTATCAGTTTTACTATTGGGTTATAGCAAATCGTATAACGTGTCATAGTTATATTAATCTAGAAAGCATAATTTTCAATGTTTCGTTAATTGAATTCGTATCTGAAATGCTAAATTGACGGAATGATTGCATATTATCGCTAGATACCATCGTTTAATTACACATTGATTTGGGTGAATAGGGACGGGGTGAGAGTGTAAATATTTAATCAACCGTTAAAATGGGAAGACTGACTACGATTTTTTTCTATATATTTGATGGATCTTCCACATCTGCCTCCCCCAGTATTAAAACTGCCTTTGATCTTAAGGACAATCAAAGCCATTGTTTGATTAGAATATGTCGTACTCTAACATGCTATAGGTGAGTAATGTTAGTTGTGTTCAGTGAATTTGGCTTCCCAGAAAACTTGCAACCCAAACATTAGATTAGAAGTACTCAGAATAGAGATTACAATAGGTCGATAAAAGGATAGAATTATCAATTACGAAATGATATTTGTCCATGAAAAGGTTTCCATTTTTTTAAAAAAAAGGTTTTGAAAGCTTTTTAAATTATTGGGTTCGCCCTAATTCATCAGGTACATTAATATTTTGATCCCATATCAAATACCCAATCCCTAAATAATTTATTTCTTTGTACATGCATATTTACAGAAACTTTTACCTTTGAGTCGATTGAATTTACAGAAATAGAAAAAAAAACTCAATACCAACCTGCATCGTTTGAATTCGTTGAAAAATCATAGGCATCGGTCAATAGTTTTCCGAGAATATTTTTAAATTCTTCGTCTGAAAGCTTGTGTCGTAGATTTGGAACTCTTTTCCCACGGAGTCCGAAAAAGCGAGCACGTTTACTGTTCCTCACTGTAGGACTTTCCAAATCGTTGTAGAGCTTCTTACCCCTCATGGCTGCGAATCCATATCGTTTTTCTGCACTTGATGCTGGAATGCCTGCTCTTTCAAAATCATTACGAGTAATTAAAAAGTCTATTAAAGGTTTGTCAATTCTTTCTACACTGTCTCCTGAATCTTCTAAGTCTGTTGATTCCTATAAAAAAGACAGTAAAAGGGGATATTTATATTATCATAGAGTTGAATAAGTGTATAAACATACTGTTTAAAAGACACATCATTGATAACTTAAAATATCAAAACATCTTCATAGAAAAGGAAGATGCGCAAAAAATATTTAACAAAAATATGAATATACCATAAAAACAACATGTTTTGGAATTGAACATCTGATATATTAATAAAATTTGTTTAAGAACACTTTAAATGATATGGAAACAATGTCTGATATAAGCCATGAAAATAACACACAAGAAATGTACAAAGGATGAGGGGGATAGCTCTCTTTTATGTAATATTTCTATAGTGACATTTCACACTGCCAAGTTCATAAGAGTGTACTAGAGAGGGAAAATGTACTTAGATATTCCATGCAAGTTGATTCATCTTAAATGTCTGATTCTGTATTCGTTCTTTGTTTTTTGTTCTTTGTATCTCAAACTTCGTGTTTCAGATTGTTATCAAACAATGTTCCACGATACTGTCTAAATTCTAATAGAAGGGCCAAATTTGATCAAAGTCATTTGATAAATTGTTGTAAAAGCGTTAATATAGAATAATTTGGTAAAATGGATATTTCTTCCCGAGACTCAGATGAAATTTGACACACGGGTCACCATAGATAAATCTTCTGGTTAACCAAGAATCTCCGAAACTTATTATATCCATTTTCTTACAAATGTAAAGAGCGTAGAAGAAAATACCAGTGGTCATTTAACTATTTAATAAGGAGTTTGATTTACAGCTACAATGCCACGCCAAAAGAGCACATTTGTCTTAGCTTCATAGAGAAACATTATGAGTTAACTTTTTTTCTTGGCAAAGAAATACCAGAGCCTCTTTGACAGCTGATTTACTTATTTTCTCAGATGGTAAAAAGTATTCAATATCCATCACTACAACAAAATTCATGCAACAGTCTCTAGTTTATCTGCTTTTCTTGCCATTTTGCCTCTGGTCCTAATGTGTCGCTTAATTTAGTTCTATGTTAAGCTTCCTAATTGGGGACCCCCTGCGTCTACTTATTTTACGGTCTGATCAAGTAAGTCCTTATTTATTAAATTAGAAATAACGATTCAGGATTAATAAAGTGTTAACAAAGCTTTAAGACAGATAAATGGCTGAAACAGTTTATAAGTTGTTCTAGAAGAGACCATGAGAATTTCTCCCTTCGTCGGACGTACTACTTTAAAATTAACCCCCGTATTTTGTTAATTATAAAATTTACCCTATTAGACAGATTTTCATTGACTGTCACAGATAAAAGTTGATGAAACTTTATATCTGTACTTTAAAACTCAGTTTCTATCTGAAATAATTGCTCTGGAGTATTCAGTAGATCCTTTACTGCGCAATTTATTGGGAAAAAACTCCATTAAAACACTCGTTTGACTCGTGCATAAAATGAACGTTTAATATAGATAACGAAAAGATATACGAAAATATATTCTTATGTGTAAATTGCATTACTTTATTACTGCAATATCTTAGGGAAAAGATGACCTTAGAGTGTCGCCGTACCACAATAGACCCGTGGGTAATAGACGAATTTGCAAACCGAAGCAAAATCAAATCAAGACCTCGGACTTGAGACAGCGTAAGTTTGATTGTCACGTGTAAAAATTTAATTTGTGCAGCAATAAGAGAATCTTTAACGCTTACCATTATCGCCTGAAAACCACATGGGACATTGAAGTCCCGAAAAAGGTTGTTAGATCGTAGTTTGTGTCGCTCCTTGCTTGACTTTTATTATATTTCAAGATCCCTTTGTACAGGATTAAATGAATGAAAAAGGAAGAAATAATTTGATAAAAATAATTGACTGAAAATTCTCGCAAGGTTTTCGTCTTAACTTGTTCAATGTTTTATACCGATACATTGACCTTGTCGGCAAATACAGTCGAATTTTAATAAATTACAAACTAAATTGTCTACGGATTTCCCGTTTGCCCGAACAAGACAAGGAGCACTCAGCGGGTATGACCTGTCTACATGGAATACTCACTCCTCCATGGCACCTAACCCCACCATCTATGATGTTTCAGAGGATATTGTTTGCTCTGCTCTCGATTTGCATCGTTTAATGGACTTTAAAGTTTGGCATCTGTTCGTTTTCTCCGTATTTCATGTAGGTATTTCAAAAGAAAAGAGATATTTCCTTCCAAGTTCTAATGTTAAGGAGACGAAAATTGAAAATTTCATAAAAGATAAAATTATCTGAAGCATTCAGATAGCCTTTGTTTTTGAGGTTGTAGAACTTGATTTTCATCATGAAAAAATGTATGGTCAAATAACGACTTTTTCCACAATAACTGATTCCAAAAACTCTTTTTACATTTCATATTTTCCAAGCTAATTTGTAAAATATAATCGATGTACGTAAGTGTACACCTGCCTTGTGAGAGCATCACATTTTAATCTGATGGGCAAAGGATTTTCCGTCCTTGTCAAAATGATTTCTAAGACAACTCTGTTAAATAGATATCTTTTACCATAAAAAGTTTTATGATAACAAAGCACATCTATCAAGGTTATCAAATTTCTCATTTAAGTTAAGGCAAAGTAGAAAATTCTCAGTTATTGTGGTAACCCAGATACAATAATCTCCAATAACAAGATGAAATATATATATATATATATATATATATATATATATATATATATATATATATATATATATATATATATATATATATATATATATATATATATATATATATATATATATATATATATATATATATATGTGTGTGTGTGTGTGTGTGTGTGTGTGTGTGTGTGTGTGTGTGTGTGTGTGTGTGTGTGTGTGTGTGTGTGTGTGTGTGTGTGTGTGTGTGTGTGTGTGTGTGTGAATCCATATATTTCATCTAGATGTCCCAAGAATAGTGGAATTGGAAAATCAAAAGTCTACTTTTTCCATGAATCATTTTTTTCTGATTACAATCAACTACATGTATGTAGAACTGAATCTCAAATCATACAATTCTTAAATATAAACAAAGATAGACAGTTTGAAGGTCGTATTTGATAAGGAATATGATCTCAAATCTTAGGTGACGTAATTTCTTAATGTGTAAATGTGTTTCAAAATAGATGAATAGTGTAAATGTCATCGTTGTAGTACATGTTATGAATCTACTCTTAAAAGAAGCGTGCATGTGAATATTTTTTGCATGGCATGATTTTTCTCATGGTAGTTTCCTAAAGTAAAGCGTGATTATATATACATGTACTTTGCCAAAAAAGCACTGTAAGTTATAGATAGTTTATTTTTAGAAATTTAGCCATCAAAGTTTTTACCACAGTAAATAAAAAAAATATCACAGTTTTCATAATACATAAATTTTAAATTCTCCTGCAATCCAAATATCAAATATTGCTTAATGTAATTGTTTACATTTGTAACAATTTTGCAGACATTCTGATATTGTCGTATGCCAAAAATGATCGACTTATGAGACCTTTTCTTGCCAACAACTGTACTCCGACAGGGGATCTCCATCTATAAAATCTCATCCAAAGGACTGGTCTCCACGTCCCACAGTGGGAGCAAGAGCGGTATACCACGTGAAATGGTAGAATTATTCTGAATTTACAGACATCATAAATTGTTCTCCTGTGTTCTTCTTGTTTATTGTAAGGAGCTAGACTATAATTTAACAGAGATATCTTCTCCATACCCCTTGAAATGACAAAATTTGACAAAAAATGCCATACGCCTGTATTAACAAACGTTCTCTAATTTCTTAACATTCAAGTGTATTCTTTTTTCCTAAGTAAATTTAATTTACGTTTCCTAACCGTTTGTATTTAAATTTCTCCAGGAAACTTGATCTTAAGCCATCTTTCTCATTTATGTATGTAGGTATTTGAATCTTTCCAAATATTTGCATGAATAACATTCCTTTCGATGAAATGAAACATTTAATTTATCATTAATTTTGTACATTTATGATTAAGCACAGTCTATTTCCATCATATTGGCGGTGAATGAAATAAAAGCTTTCCCTCCGTCCGAGGAATGACAAACTACTTGTCACCTACAATTAGAAATACTAGCTATCGGAAAGACACTGTTTAGAACTTTGAAATCTGTTTGCGAATGTTGTGACATGCTCCTATTTAGGTACTTTTCATAAAGAAAGGTTAAAATTTTGGTTTAAAAACAGTTTATAGGGAGATATAGAATACACATACACGTGAAACAAGTTGGAAGTCGAACCAAACCTTACATACATGTTATATTATTGACAACCTAAACAATGATACTATATGTATGTATTATCTTAAAGACTACAACTTACTATTTAATTCAGTTAAATTTGCTGAAAGACAATCTGTGAATTTATTTGATATTTTTTTTATTTAAAATATATTATATTGTATTCCTGTCCTACAATGGTATCTAAGTTATGTCGTCACTTACCGCTGCTGAATTCCAGAGAGGATCAGGAGCTGCTGACGTCACAGAACACGAAATGAGGAACAAAAGAGAGAATAGGGCTCGCTGTAAATTCACCATTCTACAGGTTTCTTTTTCTGGGACTTTGAATCAAGGAACTGCAAAGAAAGAAATTGTAATTAAACCCATATTTGTCATGAAGACAAAGAAAATCCAATATAAATTCTTCGCTTATATGTGTGACATTGAAACTGTATTTCAAAGGATTCTTATGTATATTACTAGTACCATTGTGAATCTTGAGGAAAAGAGTATTTAATTTTTGAAATTTTTGTAGAAGAAGATTCTAAGGCCATTCATCTCTAGAAAAGAATATATTTTCCTCATTTTAATTTATTTTTTAAGAAATGAATAGAAGAGTTTTTAAAATACGCATTGGATTTTCCTCTATTTTCTTATTCTTCTTCTACGTTGAAAACGCGTATTTAGCAATGCAAACATTCATCGAACAATGCTTTGTTTTATTTGATAAAAATATGTACTTTCTTAATTAAGATGCATGCATATCAATGCCTTCTTGTATATATGCAGATTTAAATCCTTTGATATGAAAAGAAAATAATTCCTCTTTTATTTTTTATATCATATAGAAATAAACCATGTTCAATTTAGTGTCTGGAGATATCTATGGGAATTATACGAAAAGAAGATTTTATTATTTGATAAAATAGAATAGAATCTATAGCAATTTACTAAATGTGTTACCAAACCTCTTTTTACTACTTACAACGCATACTCGATTCTTGTGAGCACTTTAATGTCAGCCGCCAAGTCTGACTAACGTTCGAGGAAAATTTCGTGTATCCAGTATAGTGCTTAATTATGTCATACGCAAGTTAACAATTAAGTCATTACGAATATATGAACCCACGCACCCCTGGGATGTCAAACAAAAATGAGTTAAAGTTAACTTTGAGACTCAGGGACCAAAAAAATTATTTCAGGCCATTACTTAAAGTTTTCTTATTAGATAATGCGGAGATAATAATAGATGAATTTATAATTGGTGTCTATAATGGGCCTTATTAATGACGAAAGTGTACAAATCACACATATGGATTTCTCAAACCACAATGCACAGGAAATATTTATATCTCTATCATTGATTTCATTTGAACTTAGGATTTATATTACTATTATAGTGTTATAGTAACCCGGGAGGTGCCAGCAAAGTGTTACGCGAACGGAAATAGACAAGGACTCCACCGACAATTGAAATCAGTAACAACTCCACAACTGGAATCAATGATGTTGAAGGTCCTTCATAAATCCAAAGTTAAGCGATGAAAGTTACACCCTAGTACTTTAAAAGACGCCTTTAATGGAAGAAAGTACATGCATACAAAAATAGCAAATTATGATTTATTAAGGAAAGGAAAGCAAACACCTTGCCGCTTTGGGACATTGGTCAGAATGAAAGAATCTAAAGTACTTTGTGTTATTTCAGGTTACAGTTGGTTAAGTTAAAAACCTCTAAAATGTAGTTAAACTAGTTGAAGTTTATGTTTCTTCAAAACAAAAAAAGTATGAAAAAAAGTTTGTTAATCTGTCGCGTTCTATCCCTATACAAACGTGACTGTGTTACAGAGCCAATCTCTGATTTATAAAACGTAAAGTAATAGAGGCTGTTGTCTTTAAAACTGATGTAAAACTAGAAAACTGTGTGGGCAGTTGCAAAAAATTGGTTAAATCAAGGTATTAACAAACGCTTACACATTTTTGTCTTAATACAAACGTCTTAGAGGAATTGCCAAATAATGAAGAGATTCTTCACATTTCAAGCTTTTTTCAAATACCTTTGCGTATAATTGAAGCACAATTTAAGTATATCTTAAGCAAATGCCGTAAAATAACCATTTTTGTCATTCTGATTTAATATTGGCAGCTCACTATAAAACACATACTCGGAATTAAAGGATATTTAGATTTATAGGATGTATTACATCTGTAGGAAGAGAAATAAATTCCTCATGGACGTTTCACACACTTCTAGTATAAAGAAAACAAATCTTATATTTTCTAGCTTGTCAAATGGTTTATATAATTGCGAATCATAAAAATAGAATTATCATCGCTTTGAATTTCATGTAAGTAAATCAAGGTCTCTTCGACTAGCTGGATCAATATCAAGCTACAGGTGTAACACTTTAGTTAGTAGATGTCATTTGCCGAAGAATTTCCAACAGTGAACGAAAAATGTATAGGAAGCTGTTGATATTCCCAAATTCATTTTTATTTTTCTCAACATTCTTACGAAATCACTTTTAAATAAAAAGTAAAATTTTCAAAGATGTATGAAAATTGGTCCTCATGTTAATTGGAAATTCCAAAGCAATTTGATAATTTTGATTCAAAGTGGTTGACAATTTAAATGTATCTATTTTCAGTTTTGTATAAAAATGATATTTCAAACATGACAATTTCCCAAGAAATCTCATTCGATTTAAGAACTGAATGCCTTTTACTGCTTTATTGGGGAAAACTATTGGGGAGAATACTACTATGTGGTTTCGAGTGTTGCGTGATAAAAACTAACGTTTAAGAAGTTTCAAAACACCTTCTACCAAAAATGATAAATAAATTTACTTTAATGATTCTATTTCAATTTTATGTAAAGACCGAGGCAAACTTCTCAAAAGAAATTTCACAAAAAATACTAAATAATTACTCCTGTTTATAAAGCTTTCAAATTTAAAATTTTAATCAAATATTCTCAATTTCAAATAAAGGAGATATACATCTCACTTAACAGTCTTATTTGCATTTAAATGCAATTTATCTCAAGTTCAATTTCACTTACCTTTAAAAATTGGTTATATCTCTTCTTAATAAAAAACTAGCAATAAACTTTCTGATTCTCTTTTATATCTGAATACGAAGACAGTGTAGTTTGCGCAAGGGTTTCACTGCGTAGGGCGCGTCACGAAAGGTGCCATTATCGATAAATATTAATGAAATCGAATGATTGGTCAACACTTAGGCGGTAGAACGGTGAGCGGAATCTCAGGGAAGTACGATTGATTTGCAAGAGAGTTTTATCACCAAAACTAGTTTTGAAATGGTCTCTGAAGTGTCGCTTTTCTTCATATATTGATGTATAATTAAACATAGTAAACAATCCTGTTACTTATACAAATAACAAAAAAAAAATAATTTATTTAAGAATTTTTCACTTTTTCCAAACAACTCTAATTAAGTACTCATTAGCAAATGAAGAACTTTTGTGTAAGTAATACCTTTGTTTAACAATACCAGATTCATGCCTAGAATTGTCATAAATAACATACTTTAACTACGGAAATCCTAAAATGAAATTTAAAAAAAAAAACCTCGAAAGGGTTTCACTTATAATTAGTTTTACCTTTTAATTTATACATAAAACTGAATGAAATCAGACAGTGGGGGTAGCCTATATCATTCATTTCTATACTGCATGTCAAGGCGAATACGCATGCACTTTATGTATTAAGTATAAAACTAATTTAACAAAATTTGCAGAATAGGGTAGAGAACAGAGAAGGAAAAATATATTGTTTTACCTTTTAAGTATCCTAATAAAGGACATATAAAAAAACTGTCAAGTGAAAAAAAAATCACAAATACTTGTTGCATGGAAAATTAAAAAAGAATAACTCATTTTAAATTAGCATAGTTTCTCCTATCCTGTCAATTAAAAATAAAGGTCATAAATACCACTATTTTTTGGTAAATTAATGACATGATGATTTATTAGAATTGGAATACCAATTTTATGAATGGGTTTATGTGACCATTTATCTGCTTTGAAAAAGAATAAGCTATGTTACATCGAAAAGTGTACGGTAAAGTTAGTAAACCTTGCTTGAGTTTGAACTTTATATATTTCCGCGTAATTGATCAATGACAACTTTGTATTGTAACTTAATAACTATAATAGATTTGACATTATATTGAATATAATTCACGTCGATATAGTGTAACCCTATACTAGTTTTACGTTACCTCGATATATAATTAGCAGATAAAATGTTATATTATGTGGTGACCACCTACATTTTTAGATTTTGTCCCACACCCGAAATAGCAAGATAGTCATGTCTTTCCCTGTCTCCCTCTTACTAACGCCCGCAATACCTATAGATCAATTGCCTTTCCTCCTTGATTCCACCTAGACCATCATTAATTATTATATGTATTTCCATGACCTGGTCAGCTTTGGCTTCATCGATACACACATCTGTCCATATACTTTTTCGCTAAGTAAACCACTTTTTAACCCCCATACATTTATCGCCTAAATCATTTCTTAGCTGCGAACTACTTGTATTTTGACCTTAAACAACTCTTCTTTTACAAGTTTCCAATCATTGTCAAGGTATCTAACTATTTCAAAGCTGTCCTTCCTTCCCATCATCTCTAAGCAGCCACCAGTATGAAATAACGAACAGTTTTCAAGCTCAAAGATCCATCAAACAGTACAAAATAGGAGAAGAGAAAACACGGAACTCCGAAAAAATCAGAAGTGGGATTAGGTGCCATGAAGGAGTAAGCATCCCCTGCCGACCGGTCCCACCACCGTGTTCTCATTGTCACGATCGGGGAATAACGGTAAATACGTCGTCAATTCAGTGTTAATAATGGACTAACCATTTGTATGAAAAACGTCTGTCAGCATTTGACTCAATGATAAATTGTTTTTGCTGACAAGGTCATTGTATCGACCATAGAATTCACACGAGACTGCTGATTTTCTTGTTTCATCAAATTAATTGTCAATAACCTATCTCGTTTTAGAACGTTCATACATAGAGCACCTGCGTATCGAATCAACGGAGAGATATAAACTCCGTACGGAGGTGATGAAGGTATATTGCTGCATAAGTAAGGGAAGTTGACGGTTGAAAAGTTAAAGTCATCATGTTTATCATAGAGCTTGGTGCTAGATTAAAATTTACGTCTTTTTCAAGTAAAATATCAAAATATGAAACAGATATGTCAGACTCTGTGGTATCAATTATCTCAAGTTTACCGAGATATATCACTTCGACATAAGAATGAAATAACCATTGCTAATTGACAATACGTCGTCGATACATGTATATCTAAATGTCAGGTTGAAGGCCACAGCAAGTGTTTTCTTCTTTTAACGTGTCTGCTTCATTGAATACAAAATAGGTCTGCTTATAACAGGGCACAATTGGTTCTCATGGGAAATACAATCGATTGTTGGAAGACCTGGTCTGCAAAAACGACATAGATATTGTTAATCAGAAACTCAAGCATTTTTTAATGTCAACTTCAAAGTACTTGAGTGTACAATCAAAATGTTTTTTAACAAAATCATTTTGTAAAAGACCAATGACAAGGTACGTAAATTTAATTTTCGAATTCCATTTCCATTTTTATTGAAAAAGCAATTGTCTATAAAGTCAAAAGGCATAGACTTTAATTTATCGTGTAGAATGATTGTGTATAAAGTTAAAAAGTTGTAAGTTTTTAGGCTGTTGATTAATTCCATAAATCATAAGGAGAAAAATGAAAAGGGATTACAACAATAGAACATCGACATAAAGTAGCAATCGTCAATTAATATAATAATTTGAAAGACATTGTCCATATGAATGCTTTATTTCCTCTGACGAAGCAAACAAAAACCCCAAGACATTCCTTAGGACAGCCCATGGCAAGTCGTATCACGGCTTTGTGTTGACCTGCCACACTATAATGACGTACAAACTCGTACTGGTTACATGTGACACATACGCACACCAAAGTTGATTCGTTTGGAAGAAATGACTGCTCATTTGATTCGACGATTTTATTTTACAAATAATCTAAATTGAACTACCATATCCATTCAGGATTCTAAAACCTCGTAAAAACCTAAACAAAGACACGTAGTAGGTTCTAGTAAATATTCTACTAAGCCACTTTCCTTATTCCTTTTTAAATAGGTAATTAGAGAAGGAAAGAAGAAACTTTATAAGCACTTTCAACAACATATTTGAGAAGTGGTTAAATCAGATATGGATACTTTAAAGCTCAAAGGGACTCTAAAGAACTGTGAAATTACTAAATTACTAAATTCAATAGCATTATGCGTGCGACTTTTTGACATTTCAGAAGCCATTCCCACTTCCCAACGATGAAAAACTTTTTAGACATAGTTTCAACTACTTTTAATAATATTTGTCACAGATCATTTCCAGAATTGTTTTGTCAACTTACAATCTAATTCTACAGAAAAGTACTCAGATATTGATATTTAACAATAGGCCAACAGGCCTAATATGCACCTGAGTATCTTTTAACAACTTTCCAACAACTGACTTTGTTCGTGTTTTAAACAAGAGGCCATAAAATTAGCAATTTTGAAAGAGACACCATTGCTAATCATAACTTTACATTCAGCATTCTTACTTTGATTACTGAATACTCAGAGAGAGAGAGAGATCAGAGGGAAAAAGAAGATGTGCATTTCCACTACATAATCAGTATCCCTCAGGAACCACTGACCCTAGGTCCACATATTGCACAATTTTTTAAAAGGCACCTCTGTTTATAAACACCACAAAGCAGATTTCAAAGCACAATTTTTTTTCAATATATGATCATTAGAACACCACCACACACACACACTACCCTTCACCCAGGGGCCATGAAATTCATCATTTTGGAAGAAGCATCTTTCCTCATCATAACTATTTACTTAAATCATCGTCATGATACCCAGGAACAGAGAAGACTTTCAAAGAATTAATGCATTTTACTATATCATCAAAAGAGTCATGTTCTAACACCTGAACACCTAATCCAGGGGCTGTGAAATTCACAATTACAAAGAGACACAGCATAAAACATATATTCGAGAACTGGTTTAGAACAGAACAGTATACTTAAAAATTCCAAGGAACTTGAAAAATTAAAATTGCAAAAGTTTACCAGAATCAATGCATCAACACGTACGATAAAACACATTATACAGCTGTACAATCAATCCTCGACAATACTTTAAAGTCCAGTTTTAGCTCAGCTGAGCCGAAGGCTCAAGTGAGCTTTTCTGAACAAAATTTGTCAGTTGTCTGTCGTCGTTTTCGTCGTCGTTGTCTTCGTTGTAAACTTTTCACATTTTCATCTTCTTCTCAAGAACCACTGGGCCAATTTCAACCAAACTTGCTACAAAGTATCCTTGGGTAAAGGGGATTCAAGTTTGTTCAAATGTACGGTCACGCCCTTTTCCAAGGGGAGATAATTATGAATTAGAGAAAAATTAATGGCATTTTAAAAAAAAAATCTTCTCAAGAATCACTGGGCCAGGAAAGATGAAACTTATGTTGAATCACCCTCAGGTAGTGTAGATTCAATTTTGTTCAAATCATGACCCCCGGGTGTAGGGTTGGGCCAAAATGGCTGATCAAAGTTTAACATAATAGTATATAGGGAAAATCTTTCAAAATCTTCTTAAGAACCACTTGGCCAGGAAAGATGAAACTCATATGAAATTATCCTCAGACAGTGTAGATTTAAGGTTGTTCAAATCATGACCCCCGGGGTAGAGTGGGTTCAAAATGGCTGATCAAAGTTTTACATAGGAAAATATATGGAAAACTTTTAAAATCTTCTTTTCAAGTACTTTAAAGCCATGATTAGTGGAATTCATATGGAATCACCCTCAGGTAGTGTAGATTCTAGTTTGTTCAAATCATGACCCCCGGGTGTAGGGTGGGGCAACAATGGCTGATCAAAGTCTTACAAAGGAACATGTATAGGAATTTTTTTTTAATCTTCTCCTCAAGAACAGCTGAGACAGGAAAAATGAAACTAAAGTGATAGCGTACTCAGGTAGTGTAGATTCAAGTTAATTCAAATCATGACCCCGGTGGTAGGGTGGGTCTAAAATGGCCGATCAAAGTTTTGCGT